TGCTCCAGTGAGACACAGCCTACCGTCCACATGCTCAACAGTCACGAGGTACCTTCCTTCCTGCTCCAGTGAGACACAGCCTACCGTCCACATGCTCAACAGTCACGAGGTACCTTCCTTCCTGCTCCAGTGAGACACAGCCTACCGTCCACATGCTCAACAGTCACGAGGTACCTTCCTTCCTGCTCCAGTGAGACACAGCCTACCGTCCACATGCTCAACAGTCACGAGGTACCTTCCTTCCTGCTCCAGTGAGACACAGCCTACCGTCCACATGCTCAACAGTCAGGAGGTACCTTCCTTCCTGCTCCAGTGAGACACAGCCTACCGTCCACATGCTCAACAGTCACGAGGTACCTTCCTTCCTGCTCCAGTGAGACACAGCCTACCGTCCACATGCTCAACAGTCACGAGGTACCTTCCTTCCTGCTCCAGTGAGACACAGCCTACCGTCCACATGCTCAACAGTCAGGAGGTACCTTCCTTCCTGCTCCAGTGAGACACAGCCTACCGTCCACATGCTCAACAGTCAGGAGGTACCTTCCTTCCTGCTCCAGTGAGACACAGCCTACCGTCCACATGCTCAACAGTCACGAGGTACCTTCCTTCCTGCTCCAGTGAGACACAGCCTACCGTCCACATGCTCAACAGTCACGAGGTACCTTCCTTCCTGCTCCAGTGAGACACAGCCTACCGTCCACATGCTCAACAGTCACGAGGTACCTTCCTTCCTGCTCCAGTGAGACACAGTCTACTGTTCAGACTCCCAACGGTCAGGAGGTACCTTCCTTCTGATTCCAATGGAATGTGTCATGACAAATGAAATTACCTAAGTAAAAACCTACAATAACATGATACAGTATCTTTGCTGTACAATAAACTGACTCCAAATTTGATATAAAACAGCATACCAATTTGGAATTGATACAAGCCATTTGGAATTCTTGAGAAATAACTGTTTTGAAATCTGTGGTTCTCAAAGACTTAAGGCACTTAAATACTTCTACAAGATGAGAACAATCTGTCTCCTGCGGCTCCTGTCTCTTGTCAGGGCCTAAAAAGACTGAACAGAGAGACAAGCGCGTCCCCCCTTAGCACAGACTGAACGGAAGGACAAGCGTGTCCCCCCTTAGCACAGACTGAACGGAAGGACAAACGCGTCCCCTTAGCACAGACTGAACAGAAGGACAAGCGCGTCCCCCCTTAGCACAGACTGAACGGAAGGACAAGCGCGTCCCCTTAGCACAGACTGAACGGAAGGACAAGCACGTCCCCCCTTAGCACAGACTGAACGGAAGGACAAGCGTGTCCCCTTAGCACAGACTGAACGGAAGGACAAGCGCGTCCCCCCTTAGCACAGACTGAACGGAAGGACAAGCGCGTCCCCCCTTAGCACAGACTGAACGGAAGGACAAGCATGTCCCCCCTTAGCACAGACTGAACAGAAGGACAAGCGCGTCCCCTTAGCACAGACTGAACGGAAGGACAAGCGCGTCCCCTTAGCACAGACTGAACGGAAGGACAAGCGCGTCCCCCCTTAGCACAGACTGAACGGAAGGACAAGCATGTCCCCTTAACACAGACTGAACGGAAGGACAAGCGCGTCCCCTTAGCACAGACTGAACGGAAGGACAAGCGCGTCCCCTTAGCACAGACTGAACGAAGGACAAGCGCATCCCCACTTAGCACAGATTGAACGGAAGGACAAGCGCGTCCCCCCTTAGCACAGACTGAATGGAAGGACAAGCGCGTCCCCCCTTAGCACAGACTGAACGGAAGGACAAGCGCGTCCCCACTTAGCACAGACTGAACGGAAGGACAAGCGTGTCCCCCCTTAGCACAGACTGAACGGAAGGATAAGCATGTCCCCTTAGCACAGACTGAACGGAAGGACAAGCGCGTCCCCACTTAGCACAGACTGAACGGAAGGACAAGCGTGTCCCCCCTTAGCACAGACTGAACGGAAGGACAAGCGCGTCCCCTTAGCACAGACTGAACGGAAGGACAAGCGCGTCCCCTTAGCACAGACTGAAAGGAAGGACAAGCGCGTCCCCTTAGCACAGACTGAACGGAAGGACAAGCACGTCCCCTTAGCACAGACTGAACGGAAGGACAAGCGTGTCCCCTTAGCACAGACTGAACGGAAGGACAAGCGCGTCCCCCCTTAGCACAGACTGAACGGAAGGACAAGCGTGTCCCCCCTTAGCACAGACTGAACGGAAGGATAAGCATGTCCCCTTAGCACAGACTGAACGGAAGGATAAGCGCATCCCCTTAGCACAGACTGAACGGAAGGACAAGCGCATCCCCTTAGCACAGACTGAACGGAAGGACAAGCGCGTCCCCCCTTAACACAGACTGAACGGAAGGACAAGCGTGTCCCCTTAGCACCTCCATATTCATCATGCTTTCGGTCACATCAACGTGCTGACTCGCCCCTGCCCAGCTGCTCTGGGGGAGAGGGGCACAGGCAGGGAAGCTGCTGGCACAGTTCTCCGCACGTCTGAACCTCACGGAAATGTTGACCAGATGACACCCCTGTGGGCTGACAGTGAATCTGATGGAAGAGACGCGAATGGACTGGCTGTTATTGCAACATTCGCATGTACAGCAATCATTTAAAGATGACTTCCTCTGTCTGCGATTTTCCACATCCGCTATGTCGAATAATGCAGCGCAAGCTGATACTTTCCTAACACCGACCCCGCTGGGATATACATTCCCATGGACAGAGTCAGTGAAAGAGGCTGATTATAAACGTTTCCTCCTAATGAATGTGAAAATAGAATGGCTCTAGATGACGACCTCATCTTCAAAATAAAGTAAAAATTAAGATTAGAAAAAGCTCTCCACCCCAATCCTAACAACCTGTGTTGTACATCAAAACTATGTTTGATGAGAACAAGCAGTGGTAATATGGCTAAAAAACTCAGCTCAAAGACTTTGCTAAAGAAAACTGTCCTACACAAAACATCAAAAGAACTTAACCTCAGATACAAAGAATATTTGTATGTTTCCTTATATATACAGATTAGTACTAAGTAGGCTCCAAATCTGATATCTTCTCCTAGGTTGGTTTTAAATGTTTTTGTTTTTATGACCCTGCACTCCCCAGAATCATCAACTTTTTTGTGCCTTCGCTGACACAATTTAAACCAAACACACGCCAGGCCTTAAGGCGGTGGCCAGATCTACGTGGGGATTTACAGAATCCACGTTGAAAAATAATCAGAACAATGAGTCTGTCGTCACTGCGATGTGATTTCCAACTTCCATGAAGATGAAATCAGCAGAAGCCCTCTTTTCCTCAAATTTCATTTCATACATACGCAAAAACCTGCACATAAATGTTCACGGTGGCATTAATGACAACAGCCAAAAAGTGGAAACAACCCAAATGTCCACTGCTGACGATGGAGAAACAGAGCGCGGGCCGTGCGGACCTCGGCGTATCATGCAGCCACTAAGAGGACAATGCTCTGAGGCAAGCGACAAAGTGCACGTCACAGGATTCCATCTATACTCAGGGTCCACAATGGGGACGCCCAGAGGGACAGGCGGAGACGGGTGGGTGCCAGAGGCTGGAGGCTGGAAGAATGGAAAGTGACTGCTGGTGGATACTGGCTGATTTTGGGGGTAATAAAATATATTCTAGAAGTAGAAGTGATGACTCCACAACCTTGTGAATCTACTACAAACCACTGAGGTGGACCTTTAGAACCATAGGGTACACAAATTAGATCTCAACTTGGAAAAAAATAGATCAACCTAAGCTCTCTCTCTTCCCACCATGCTGCCATCTGAATCCTGGCGCTCTGTATTAGAGGGAAAAGCAATTTTTGTGAAAAACATTATTTTCAATGTTTCAGATACGGTAATGAGTCTTCCTAACAGGAAAACCTTTGTTCAGTCAACACATCGACACTGAGTTGCTAGGAAAAATCAACAACTCACACACAGAAGCAGGAAAAACTCGAGTTCTTCCTAGTAAGTAAACAAAACCCATGCTCACCACTGCCGCACAGAGCTGACTGTGTTTGGCTCTCTCTTTTCTCCACGCTGTAGTAACTGACAGTCATTGGTCACTTATGGAGACAGGATGAGGGCACACACAGGCTCTGTGGGGAAGAGGCCTATGAAAGGCACACTGGGTGGGCTGAGCTGGGAGGGAGGACAGCTCAGAGCCTGCAGGAGAGAAGCCCCCGCTGGGAATCCAGGTGGGAATCCAGGTGGAAAGAGGCAGTGCGTCCTATGCCACAGGCCCCGTGGAAGCCGAGTCCTCCAGCCAGAGAGCCGCCTCTGAGAGCCCATGTCCAGACACTGATCTGAGAGACGTGGGAAGACGGCAGGCCGATGCCAGTGTCAGGAAGGAAAGCTTACAGGGGCCATCCTTGAAGGCATCGACAGCCGATGAAATGAGTGAAACTGCCTACAAACGACGCTGTCCACCTGCATCAGCGTGGGCAGATTTCCGCCACGTAAGGGAAGGAAGGGAGTCGTCACACCATGAAGTGTGCACAGAAAAATCCCAAAAGGTTCAGAGATCTCACACTGGTGCAATTATTCTCCCTTTCTTCATTTTATCTCTCCTTTTTTTTCTGAGACGCCGTCTCACTCTGTTGCCCAGGCTGGAGTGCAGTGGCGCGATCTCAGCTCACTGCAACCTCTGCCACCCGGGTTTAAGTGATTCTCCTGCCTCAGCCTCTCAAGTAGCTGGGATTACAGGAACCCACCACCACGCCCGGCTAATGTTTGCAGTTTTAGTACAGTCGGGCTCTCACCATCTTGGTCAGGCTGATATTGAGCTCCGGACCTCATGATCCACCCGCCTCAGCCTCCCAAAGCGCTAGGATTACAGGCGTGAGCCACCAAGCCCGGCCTATACGGTATCATTTTTTTTTTAAAAAACAACAAACATATATTAATTTCTAAAAAAGCAAAACAAACAAAAACATTCCTACTGCTGCTCTGGCCAAGGAAAGAGGACGCCTGGGACGCACCTTCCGAGTTGAGGGTGATGAGGGTGACGTTGCTCCCGATGCTCTGGCTGCCGGCCTGTCCGCAGCTGGACACAGAGTCGCTGGCCTCCGAGCCACTCTCCCCGTCTTCGTGGTGGCTGTCTTCTTGGCCTGGCACCTTCACCACAATGGTGTTCTGCCGACGCCCAGGCACAGCACTGAACGGGAAAAAACACACCAGCCCAATGGGGTGAGAGCCACAACCAGCACGCCGAGTTCCGCACCTTCCTCAACTTATCACAAATCTAACTGTGTGGACCAGTGGATCACACGGCCTTCCCAGACAGCGCTCTCTACCAAGATTAACAGCAACTCCATAGGAGAAAATGGCCTGGGGCTGAAAGAAACTGTATAAAGTAAAACTTAACCATTTAGAGAAAATATGTACAACACGAAAGAAGTAAAATCGTGACTCACTGAGACTCAGGCCCAAAATGCTGCCCTCTGATTTCAGAGGTCATCCTATAGAATGTTGGCACTCGAAGAAGAGTCTTTTTTAAGGCCATGTTAAAGGAAAGACCAAATTCGGAAGACCGAGCTCAGAGACCTGGGTCAGCTGGACCCACGCTGCGAGGCTCCCTGGAAATGACTCCGTCTCTGCAACGCAAGCACCACTCCCAAGTGTTCCCACGGGCAAAAAACCCTGAAGGGGGCTTCAAAAGCCGGCTGAGATTCCACGGGAGCTGCCGTCATCCCAAGAGCTGCTGATGTGGAATGACAGAACACTGCCCACAAGGCTGGGCGAGGCCAGCTCCACAACATGCTCAAAAACAGGGTGACGGAGACACTTGCTACTTCCCTTTTCAACAACCTCTGCCATGGACGGCTACGCACCAGGAGAGGAGAAAGGAGCACAATTCTGTTCGCAAAGTCAAAAAAAGGGTGTTGCAAACACTGTCTGCACCCAGAGGAGGGCGCTGCACTTAGCACTTTCTGGACTGGATTCTCTAGAGTGATGTCCACGCTGAACTGGATCCTCAACATTGGGCACCTGCCCGGCTGACCTCAGCGCCAAGCCCCGGAGGCACAGCTGACCCTGGCACCTCCTCACCGCCCGTCACCACCTCCTCTCCCTTCGCCCCCATGTGTCAGGCCCTCGTGACCACAGCTGCAGCCCTGGAGAACTGAGCTAAGACAACAAGGAAAGGGGACGAAGCTGGAGGAGGAGCAATCCACAAAGGAGACTGAGAGAAAAAGCAAAATAGAACTTTGTGAAGACACAGATGGGAAACAAAAAGTGCCAGCACCCTCGGGGGTTCATGCAGCCCAGGAGGCCTTCCTGGAGAGCAGGGCCCAGATGCAGCCAGAGGCCACTGCCTGGCCCTCCTGTCACGCAGGGTGGGGACGGTGTCTTTCATTCATTCCCACCTCTGGCCAAAGCTCCACTCAAAACATCTCAAGAGAAAAAAGGAAAAAAGCCGTCAACTCAACATGCCTGCACCACTTAGCAAGCGTGGGAGAGGGCGTCTGTTTGCCTGCGAGCTTCTGCACAGACAGACAGACGTGTACCACTGAGCTAGGTGGGAGGATGAGCGCCTTCACCAACTGCTGTGAGGAGACAGAGCCAGCCCCCTTCACAACCCAGCCAGCACGAGACGCAGAAGTCCCCAGCGACAGCTGCCCCTGGTGTGGCTGGGCTCAGCACTCAGCTTCACCCAGCCTGCCCTCCCCGACCTCAGAGAGCTGGGGCAGTGCCTGCCAGGCTCAACCCTGTGACCACAGAGATGAAGCATGTGCCGGACTGTGCCCTGGCTTAGGGGCTGACTTATCCTCACGGGGCTCCTCAGGGACAGGGAAAGGTGGGGTTGGTGCCGCGCTACTGACTTGCTAATGGCATTTTCCAGGGAATCCGGTGCCCTGCTGCTCAAGGGGTCTTCCATCTTGGCTACAATGGCGTTCTGCCGATCATTGTTGAGTATTACTGTAGTCTGGGGGACGACGCTAGGGAACAAAAGAATCACAAAGAAAAAGAAGGCCTTAAAACAACAACATTCACGGTAAGAGCACATCAGTCATTCAACACAGTCCGCTCCCAGGGACCTGCACTGCCGGCAGGAGCCCCAACGCTAAGGAGAATAAACTGGACATGGGTTTTTAACGGGGTTTAACTTCCCTAACTGTTGGTGCTTCGTCTGAACAGCTGATAGCACAGGACGGCTGGGCTGATGCTGAATGTGTAACACGGAACAGACTGAGACAGCACGAGCTGTTACCATGCCCGGTTAGTAAAGCTTCTGAGGTGGCACACGTGCATGAAAACCGGCAGACGCTTTTCGTCACTCCATCCCAGCTCCATTCCTGTGGGACAGACCTAGCTTTCGTAACCATGTGAGTGTTGGCACCCTTCCAACTGCTGGCACCCCGGGAAGAAAGGGCCAAACATCACCCCAGACTTGGGAGGTAAGGACACATACTCACTACCTCTAGGTTCTGCAGGAACAGGTGTGAGTCACAACCAAAGGGCTCAGGGTTCTGCTTCCAAGGAAAAGATTCTACAAAAGAACAGGCTATGACCCAGAAACCAGCAAACCTGGTGCTGCCCTGGAGGAAGCGCTGGTGTGTTTAGACAGGCGGCAGCAACACAGCTTCGCCTCAACGGGCAGACTCACCCACGGTTTCCCTTCCTGAGTTTCGAGCCTTAGCACTTTCAGTCAAGGGATTTCTGCGGTACACTCTGTGGTGGAAGGGTGGCGCAGGGAAGGAACTGGCACCAGGAACGCAGTGGTTATCACCAGAGAATAAAACACCATTCCTGGATTTCACTCTCCAAAAACCAACCTGGGAAGACTACCTTTCTGTGATCTGCACCCAGGAAAATCCAGCCTGGCATCACAGCTGTATCTGTCCCCACAGCGAGTGTAAGAACAGCACCATTCCACGCGCATGGAAATCACGAGACCAGCAGGTTTTTCTAAATAAAGGTATCATCAACTGCATGTCACTCAAAAGTACTATTTTTTTTTTTGAGACGGAGTCTCGCTCTTGTGACCCAGGCTGGAGTGCAATGGCGCGATCTTGGCTCACCACAACCTCCGCCTCCTGGGTTCAGGCAATTCTCCCGCCTCAGCCTCCTGAGTACCTGGGATTACAGGCACGCGCCACCATGCCCAGCTAATTTTTTGTATCTTTAGTAGAGACGGGGTTTCACCATGTTGACCAGGATGGTCTCGATCTCTTGACCTCGTGATCCACCCGCCTCGGCCTCCCAAAGTGCTGGGATTACAGGCGTGAGCCACCGCGCCCGGCCAAAAGTACTATTTTTTAAGCTCCTCTACTTGTTACTGGTGACACCTAAAGCAACACAGCAAAACCTGGTACATGTCCTCCATCAAGAGGCTTTGCTCAAGTGCACGCAAAGCAGCCACCAAGGGAGGACAGAAAACGAAAACTCTTCCGGAAAAATGCAGGATTTCAACTATTTTCACAAGTTTGTATTTGCCATGTATTATTACAGGAGGGAACAAAAACCAAGTTACTGTGAAGCAGAGCCTTGAGAAACCACACAATGGTCCAGTGCAGACGATCACGCAGGGCGGAGGGAGGATGGGAGGGCAACACGCAGGACCAGGGCCCCACCAGCACTTCCGAGCAGCAGAACATCTGAGCCACAGACAGTGAGCAGAACCCGACAGCCCTCGCAGCACTGGTTAGCACTGAACCAACTCCAACGAACTGGGACAGGCAGCTGAGATGCCGGGTGGGAGGTCTCAGTCTGTGGTTAGGTTCCGTGAAAGCTGTCAAACGTGGAAAAGATGGGGCAGGAGAGCCACAGGAGCTGCGGTGGTGACTTCAGATACCGCTGTGGGTGCTTGCTGGACACAAATGATCACAGGATGAAGAGTAGACGTGACTCCATTCTCTGCCTAACCCTCCACTCACATAGAGGCACTGAGAGACAATCTGAGGAAAAGCAAGCACCAACCCTCCAAATATGAGTTTAAGTAACTTTCAAACATCAGCCGGGCGCGGTGGCTCACGCCTGTAATCCCAGCAGTTTGTGAGGCCGAGGTGGGAAGATCACGAGGTCAAGAGATCGAGACCATCCTGGCAAACACGGTGAAACCCCATGTCTACTAAAAATACATAAATTAGATGTGCGCAGTGGTGCACACCTGTAGTTCCAGCTACTTGGGAGGCTGAGGCAGGAGAATCCCCTGAATCCAGGAGGCAGAGATTGCAGTGAGCCGAGACCATGCCACTGCACTACGACCTGGTGACAGAGTGCGACTCTCTGAGAAAAGATAATAATTTTCAAATGTCCCAGACCAAACCCACTAAACGTGCACCTCACAAATCTGCACTGAACGCTCAGCAAGTGAGAAGCCCGCCCTGGGCACTACAGGACCCCAGCCTGCAGGGACCCCCGTTCCAGGTCGCTGCATGAACCAGGCCGGGCGTGCTGCGTTCCCTGGGCGCCCCTCTTAGCCCGACATCTTGACAGAGCGCTGCCACCTGTGTGGCCAAGTCACCGGCCAGTCCCATTCCCACCGCAATACCTGGCTGTCTCCTACAGCAGGGAGAGGGTGAATGCCATCAGAGTATCTGACGTACGTTTGAACCAAACAAGCTTCCGTCTCCTCCCACCCAAAGCGCAGCCTCACCACGTGACACTCTGCACTCCGGTAGGCACCCCTTTTACAAGTGAAAATAATCATCAAGTCCAGTTTAGAAAATCTGATAGTCATTTTCTAATTTTTATGAATTATCTCAAGAAAAACTATTTCAACAACAGCAAGCTCAAAAGTACTTCAAGTAATTTTTTCTGCTTTTACTTATTAGGGAAAAATGGACAGATTTTGTTTAAAACTCCAGTACCTGTTCCCTAAGTACGTTTTCTCCCATGGACATTCAAGCTGCTACGTAACACAGAAGGACCCAGGCCTTGTAAGTAAGAAACGGGGTTAGTGTAACGTACTTACAAAAAGGGGAGCTGCTGGGCGGTCAGAGCTTCAGCAGGAGGAAAGCAGAAGGGCAGGCAGGTGGAAAGAGCAGGTACCCTGAAGCCCCCAGGCTGGAGCAGCCCACAGCCCACTCCCTTGCCGACAGGGCTCTCCCAGGAGCCCCTGTGCATCCAACCTGCATTTCCCAAGCCCTTCTGTGCACACACGGCCCTGTGGCCAGAGTCCATCAATGGGCTTCCAACAGGAGAGAGGTGTGTCACCTCCCGGACACAGGCCTTAAACACAGGATGCACCTTCCAGTCTCTCCCCTTTCCCAATTGAGGACCCCAAGGCAACACGGGTAAGCACAGAATAAAAGGCTCAGGCATCGGAGGCACCTGCAGGCAGCTGGGGGAAGAGCAGAAGAGCGCACACTGCACCCTGAACACAGCAAGACTCAACCTCCCACCACGCTAACCACAAGTCCACAGAACCCGCTACTGCAATGATTCATGTCACCCAGTCAATACAGTCAGCATGCAGACTAATCAAACATTTACTGAAAGCATATTTCTATTGCTTGCAGGTTAAAAGGGTATTTGATTTTATTGTTATAGACGGGGTCTCACTATGTTGCCCAGGCTGGTCTCAAATTCTTGGTCTCAAGTGATCCTCCCACCTCAGCCTCCCGAGTTGCTGGGATTACAGGCCTAAGCCATTGCACCACGCTAAAGATTAAAAAGTCATAAAAACATGATCTAACCAAAAATTCTCAGGGATAAAAATAAATCAGCATTAAAATTTTCTTCCTAATATCTAATGAAATGAGCAAAATAGAATATAAAAGCAGCCCCACAAATAACCACTGTGCCAGTGAAATGGGACTAACCTAATGCAGCAAACTTTCAAAACTCATTGCTGAAGAAAGGCGTCTAGCCTCTGGCAATTGGCTTTGAGAGGCTGCAGATGTAACTCCTCACGCTGCTCTCCCCACACATGCTTGTGCGTGGACAGAGATCTGGGACCTCCCCCAACCGTCCCAAATCAGAAGGGCGAGGAGGTAGAGAACATCTGTGTTTCTCCCTCTTTCCTAGAAGCTACAGAAACGACTACTAGGGAGAGAGGGAGGCAGCATGGCGAATGACTCCATGGAAGTCAACACCTGCAGCAGCACAGGAAGGCAGCGTGTTCAAGTGAAAAGCTGCCCAGGGCCCTTCGCAGGCTCGCAGGACACCGCGCACTGCCACGCACGACATTCTGGTCTCTAACACCAGGGACCTCCGCTCACTGCCTCCCGGTCTCTAAAGCCAGGCTCTTCCCACGCTCGGAGGACACCGCGCACCGCCTCCCGGTCTCTAAAGCCAGGCTCTTCCCACGCTCGGAGGACACCGCGCACCGCCTCCCGGTCTCTAAAGCCAGGCTCTTCCCACGCTCGGAGGACACCGCGCACCGCCTCCCGGTCTCTAACGCCAGGCTCTTCCCACGCTCGGAGGACACCGCGCACCGCCTCCCGGTCTCTAACGCCAGGCTCTTCCCACGCTCGGAGGACACCGCGCACCGCCTCCCGGTCTCTAACGCCAGGCTCTTCCCACGCTCGGAGGACACCGCGCACCGCCTCCCGGTCTCTAACGCCAGGCTCTTCGCACGCTCGAGGCACACCACCGCGCACCGCCTCCCGGTCTCTAACGCCAGGCTCTTCCCACGCTCGGAGGACACCGCGCACCGCCTCCCGGTCTCTAACGCCAGGCTCTTCCCACGCTCGGAGGACACCGCGCACCGCCTCCTGGTCTCTAACGCCAGGCTCTTCCCACGCTCAGAGGACACCGCGCACCGCCTCCCCGTCTCTAACGCCAGGCTCTTCCCACGCTCGGAGGACACCGCGCACCGCCTCCCGGTTTCTAACGCCAGGCTCTTCGCACGCTCGAGGCACACCACCGCGCACCGCCTCCTGGTTTCTAACGCCAGGCTCTTCGCACGCTCGAGGCACACCACCGCGCACTGCCTCCCGGTCTCTAACGCCAGGCTCTTCCCACGCTCAGAGGACACCGCGCACCGCCTCCCAGTCTCTAAAGCCAGGCTCTTCCCACGCTCGGAGGACACCGCGCACCGCCTCCCGGTTTCTAACGCCAGGCTCTTCGCACGCTCGAGGCACACCACCGCGCACCGCCTCCCGGTCTCTAACGCCAGGCTCTTCGCACGCTCGAGGCACACCACCGCGCACTGCCTCCCGGTCTCTAACGCCAGGCTCTTCCCACGCTCAGAGGACACCGCGCACCGCCTCCCAGTCTCTAAAGCCAGGCTCTTCCCACGCTCGGAGGACACCGCGCACCGCCTCCTGGTTTCTAACGCCAGGCTCTTCGCACGCTCGGAGGACACCGCGCACCGCCTCCTGGTTTCTAACGCCAGGCTCTTCGCACGCTCGAGGCACACCACCGCGCACCGCCTCCCGGTCTCTAACGCCAGGCTCTTCCCACGCTCGGAGGACACCGCGCACCGCCTCCCGGTCTCTAACGCCAGGCTCTTCCCACGCTCAGAGGACACCGCGCACCGCCTCCCAGTCTCTAAAGCCAGGCTCTTCCCACGCTCGGAGGACACCGCGCACCGCCTCCTGGTTTCTAACGCCAGGCTCTTCGCACGCTCGAGGCACACCACCGCGCACCGCCTCCTGGTCTTGGGGCACCACATCCTAGTCTCTGCCAGGGCATCCTCATCTCTAACCTCATTGTTCAATGCAAGCAGAAACGGCTGATTCTAGGCTGGGAAAGGCATGCACAATGAGCCTGGAGAAGCATTTGATAGCACCATGCAAGTAAAAGAGCTTCAGGCCAAGCGCAGTGGCTCACATCTGTAATCCCAGCACTTTGGGAGGCCACGACAGGCAGATTACAAGGTCAGGAGTTCGAGACCAGCCTGAGCAACATGGGGAAACCCCGTCTCTAATAAAAATACAAAATTAGCCAGGTGTGGTGGCACAGCCTGTAATCCCAGCTACTTGGGAGGCTCAGACAGGAGAACTGCTTGAATCCAGGAGGTGAAGGCTGCAGCGAGAAGAGATCCCACCACTGCACTCCATCCTGGGCAACAGAGCAAAACTCCGTCTCGAAAGAAAAAAACAAAACACTAACAAGAAAACACCTACAATGAAGAGGGAATGGAGGGAATGTCAAGGGGCACAGGAGCCAACTAACAAGCTGCCGATGGCCAAAGCTGGAAGGATGTGAGCCCCAGAATGAAGCAGTACTGGATTCTAACCCAAAGTGTAAAATAAATCTCCATGAGCATGTGCTGATGTAAACAGATGAGTGAATAAATCCGTAAATGCGAAAGAAGAGACAAGCCTCCCAGGCAGACTAACCAAAGTGTCCGAGACGCTCCGCTGCTCCCCCGCTCCCCCGAGGAGGCAGCACACAGCTCCCTACTCCTCACCGGGGCGGACGACGGGCACAGCAGCTTCCTTCCAAAAGTGCAGGATGCAAGGGGGAAGAGCGTGGCCTGACAGTGGAAAACACTGAACAGCCTCAGCCAGGTGACCCGCGTCGGCATCAAGGCCTGAGTCCTGCTGACGGTGCTGGCCTGGACAGGATGTGACGAGAAGGGCTTCACCTCTGTGGCCTTCCTCCCCAAAACCCGTGACCCCGGTCTCATCAGGAGGCAAATCCCAACAGAGGTACATCCTACAAAATACCTCAAAAAGTCGCCAAAAACAAGGAAGCATGAGAAACAGTCACAGATCGGAGGAGCCCAGGGAGGCTTGGCAATGGAGCAGCCGCGGACCCACAGACGTGTAAAACACACAGAGGGTCCCACAAGGAGCAGTGTGCCGATAAATTCTAGAATTTGGAGGCAAGGAAAACAATCTTCAGAGACACAAATTAACACTAACTCAAGAAATTCTAGTTATCAAAGTTCTGTATTTATTAAAATAATTGAATTCATGATTAAAAATCTAGGCTTCACTGGCAAATTCTATCAAACTTTTTAAAAGAAAGAAAACTAAAGTCACAGAAACGTTTTAAGAAAGCAGACAATGAGGGGCAGCTTCCCAGCTCCATTTCTGAGGTCAGCAAACAAACAAAGCAAAGACATGGCCAAAAAAAAACTACAGGCTAACATGTCCCACAGACACAGACGCAAACAAAGCAAAGACATGGCCAAAAAAAACTACAGGCTAACATGTCCCACAAACACAGACGCAAACAAAACAAAACAAAGACATGGCCAAAAAAAACTACAGGCTAACATGTCCCACAGACACAGACGCAAACAAAGCAAAGACATGGCCAAAAAAAACTACAGGCTAACATGTCCCACAGACACAGACGCAAACAAAGCAAAGACATGGCCAAAAAAAACTACAGGCTAACATGTCCCACAGACACAGACGCAAACAAAGCAAAGACATGGCCAAAAAAAACTACAGGCTAACATGTCCCACAGACACAGACGCAAACAAAGCAAAGACATGGCCAAAAAAAACTACAGGCTAACATGTCCCACAGACACAGACGCAAACAAAGCAAAGACATGGCCAAAAAAAACTACAGGCTAACATGTCCCACAGACACAGACGCAAACAAAGCAAAGACATGGCCAAAAAAAAACTACAGGCTAACATGTCCCACAGACACAGACGCAAACAAAGCAAAGACATGGCCAAAAAAAACTACAGGCTAACATGTCCCACAGACACAGACGCAAACAAAACAAAACAAAGACATGGCCAAAAAAAAACTACAGGCTAACATGTCCCACAGACACAGACGCAAACAAAACAAAACAAAGACATGGCCAGAAAAAAACTACAGGCTAACATGTCCCACAGACACAGACGCAAAAAGTCTTAATTAAATATTAGGAAACTGATCAGTTAATATATCTAAACCGTAATACACCTAGATCAAGTCAGGTTTATCGTAACAGAAATGCAAGGTTCGGCTGGCATTCAAAATCCGGGTAATTCACTTTAACAAAAGAATCAAGAAGGAACACCAAACACTCATCTCGGGTGGATACATAAAAAGTATGTGATAACTCAATGTCCATTCATTCGTGTGAAAAACTCCCAAGAAACAAAGAATAAAGGAAACTTCTTCCACCTGATGAAGAGCATCTAGGAAAAATACACTAGAAACATCATAGTTAATGGTGAAAGGCCGGATGTTTTCACTTGAAGATCAGGAATAAGGCAGAAATACTTTTAAATAAAAGTACATATACTGAAAATAAAGGTCATGGCCAGCACAGTAAAGTACGAGAAGCTACAGAAACTCTACAGGAAGAAGGAAAACTCCATTTAAAGGTAACATAATCACATATACTTTTTAAAATCCTACAGAAAATCTACAACAATTTCATTTAGAAACGACACAGGATAAAGGGCAGTAAAGAAAAATATGTTGTACTGCTACATCCTTCCAATGAATAAATGGATATTGAAATTTAAAATACAGTATATTTATGGGAGCATCTGTTAGGTATCAAGTACTCAGAGATTAATTTAACAAAATATGCGCAGGAGCTGAACACTGAAAACCACGCAACCCTTTTAAGAGAAACTGAACTCCTGCATGAGACATACCATGTTCATGGATCAGAATATTCAATACTGTTAAGTTGGCAATTCCCTCAAACCAATCTACAGATTCAACACAATCCCAATCAATGAGTTATGGTTTATTCTAAAACTAGAGAAGTTCTCCAAATTATCAGAATGTACATAATCATTAAAACACTTAAATTTATGTTTAACATTAGTTTGGTTAAGATTGTATCTCTGAACCATATGGTTATATGAACAATTCCCTAAGTTGCATGTATGTAGACTGCATGTTTTCTTTGGCAAGTCCTCAGCCCTAGCATGTACAGAGTATCACAATTAGGTCACCAACAGAATGCAGCTGTGCAAGGTCATATAGACCAGTTAGGAAGAGAAATCACACATGCACAAAATTAAATGAAAGCAACCAAAATTCATTATTAAATAAGAAAAGAATTAAACAAAACCATCTTAGCTGAAACCAAATCATTTTTTCACAATTCAAGCAGCTCTCCCTTAAATCTGTCACACTGTAAAGCCTATGAAAGCTCTAATTTTGACTGAGAATGCCAATGACCCAAAACTGAAAACACTGGTTCACCCTGGCCAAGACCTCTTGTGCTCACATGCCAGAATAGGGATGCTCAAAATGAGGCCTACCCCTACATAACACCACAACAGCCCTTCCAGGAATATCTATCAATATTTAAAATAAAAGACCCTCTAGGAAATAAAACAGAGAACCTGCAGCCAGCATACTAGAGGGAATTAAAACCAGTCCTTAATCAAATATTTCAATTCTCCACGAGTCAATAGCAGTTCTGAGGAAAAGAAAAATTTCCTTTTCATTAAGTCTTACGTGACACATGTCTAAAGACACACTTTAAAAGAAATCACACTTTTTGCCAGACACAGTGGCTCACACCTGTAATCCCAGCATTTTGGGATGCCAAGGTGGGTGGATCACCTGAGGTCGGGGGGGGAGATCGAGACCAGCCTGACCAACATAGAGAAACCCGGTCTCTATTAAAAATACAAAATTATCTGAGTGTGGTGGTGCGTGCCTGTAATCCCAGCTACTCGGTAGGTTGAGGCAAGAGGATCTCTTGAACCCGGGAGGCAGAGGTTGCAATGAGCCAAGTTCACACCATTGCACTCCAGCCTGGGCAACAAGAGCGAAACTCCGTCCCAAGAAAAAAAAAAGAAAGAAAGAAATCACACTTTTTAAAAATTCCAAGAACTATTATTATACAGAAGCCTATGGTTTATAATTGTAATAGAAACATGCTAGTTCTTTTTAATTGTTTAATGGTTTTAAAGATAAAAATCTATGACTTTAAAAAACAGATTTAAAAAATCTTTTTTCAATTGAAATAAACTAAAATTAATTTTTATTTATTTTTATTTATTTATTTATTGAGACGGAGTCTCGCTCTGTCACCCAGGCTGGAGTGCAGTGGAGCAATCTCGGCTCACCACAATCTCCACCTCCTGGGTTCTTGCAGTTCTCCTACCTCAGCCTCCCGAGTAGCTGGGACTACAGGCACACACCACCACCCCCGGCTAATTTTTTGTATTTTAGTAGAGATGGGGGTTTCACCATGTTGCCCAGGCTGGTCTCGAACTCCTCAGCTCAGGCAATCTGCCTGCCTTGGCCTCCCAAAGTGCTGGGATTACAGGTGAGAGCCACCGGGCCCGGCTAGTTTGTTTTTATTTTTAAAAATAATTTTTCGGGCCGGGCGCAGTGGCTCACGCCTGTAATCCCAGCACTTTGGGAGGCCGAGGCGGGTGGATCACGAGGTCAAGAGATCGAGACCATCCAGGTCAACATGGTGAAACCCCGTCTCTACTAAAAATACAAAAAATTAGCTGGGCATGGTGGCACGTGCCTGTAATCCCAGCTACTCAAGAGGCTGAGGCAGGAGAATTGCCGGAGCCCAGGAGGCGGAGGTTGTGGTGAGCCGAAATTGCGCCATTGCACTCCAGCCTGGGTAACAAGAGCGAACTCTGTCTCAAAAAAAAAAATAATAATAATAATTTTTCTAGTCAGTCAATATGTTCAGAAAACAAAGCCAAAAACCCTGGGCTCTGAGCTGTGGTCTGAGCTGCCGACTCCACAGGTGTGCTGGGCAAACAGATCCCTGCTGCCCATCCCGTGTCCTGGAGATGCACAGCCATGCGGGCTGGCATCCTGTGACGGGCAACACATCATGCTCAGCCACATCCTACTGACACTGCTGTCCGTCCAGCGTCGAAGTACAACAAAAGGCTGTTCGCACTGACCTGTAAAAACATACCTGCGCATGCCCTTGATCCCTGCAGGCCATGTGACATCATGCCCCAACCGCACTGTCCACACTAGCATTCAAAGGATGGGCCCACTGAACATACATCTTTAAAGTTAAAACCTCAGGTTGCTACACCAAAATTACAATGGAGCAAGATCCAAACCGATGGCACACCTGCAGGAAGAAAATAAGTACCTATCTAAAAAAAAGTTAAAAGAAAAAAAAGCCGGGCACGGTGGCACGTGCCTGTAGTCCCAGCTACTCAGGAGGCGGAGGTGGGAGGATCGCTCGATCCCAGGAGTTCTGGGCTGTAGTGTACTATGCCGATCGGGTGTCCACACTAAGTTTGGCATCAATATGGTGACCTCCCGGGAGTGGGGCACCATCAGGTTGCCTAAGGAGGGGTGAACCCGCCCAGGTCAGAAACAGAGCAGGTCAAAATTCCCGTGCTGATCAGTAGTGGGATCGCACCTGTGAGTAGCCACTGCACTCCATCCTGGGCAACATACCGAGACCCCATCTCTAAAAAAATTTTTTTAAATAAAAAAAAACGTAAAAGACCATTTTTCTTGTCCCCAAGTCGATGACGACTGTTGGATGAAGCCCATCCAGGTGACTCACATTTTTATTACAATGATTCAACTTTACCTTCAAGTAAAAAGGGCTGTATTTCTTTTTCTTTTCTTTTTTCTTGAAGTTATTTGCTGTGCCCGCCCTTGAAGACTGGGCTGGCTCTGAGCAGACATGGCCACTCTAAACAGAAGGGCAAGTGACACCACAGCGGGCAGCTTCTTGCCCTCTCTCCAGGGGCCTCATTACGACTCGGAGTCCCTTAAGGTGTCTGCATCTGTGCTGTAAGATCACACTCGGACTTCCCAGCTAATCCCGTCCAGCAAGGAGTGAGCCCCGGGAACGTCGGACTATTTGAACAGCACTGGATTGGGATGTGACACAATCTGTGACTTACATACTTCTGTTCGTCCCAAATATCTGAGGCCCGAAGTCAAGAATTCATAGAAGCATCTTACTATGTGGAATGCTAACCACTTTTTAAGTTTGTTTGGAGACTTTTCCTTCTCCACGTTCCACTGCCCACATTTTAGATACACAATTCTCAAACAACACTCATACGTGTATACAAATTAGTAACATTCTCATCTAAACACACCGCTTTTCATTAACGGACTGGGGTTAAGTTCTTCTCCACTGTTTCTTCCCTACACTTTTCTGTCAACAGCTTTCAATTGTTGGCAATTTTTATTTCTAATTTTCAGAATTTATATGGAAAGATACCTGGCCAGCATGGCAAAGCCCACCTCCATCAAAAAATACAAAAATTAGCCTACAGTTCCAGCAACTAGGGAGGCTGAGGTGAGAGAATCACTTGAACCGGGAGGCAGAGGTTGCAGTGAGCCGAGATTGCGCCACTACACTCCAGCCTGGATGATAGAGTGAGACTTCTGAAAAGAACTTATGTGGGAAGAAATGCCAGACTTAACAATACGTTTTTTTTTTTTGAGTTAGTGTCTCACTCAGCCTGGAATGCAGTGGCGCGGTCATGACTCACTGCAGTCTCGCCCTAATCCTCCCACTTCGGCCTCCTAAGGGATTGCAGACAGGTGCCACTGTGCCCAGCTAATTTTTTTATATTTTGTAGATATGGAGGTCTCGCTATGTTGCCCACGCTGGTCTGGAATTCCTGAGTTCTGGCGATCCTTCCACCTCGGCCTTCCAAAGTGCTGGAATTACAGGCATGAGCCACCTGGCCTCCTTCGAAAGTCATTCAAAAATACTCTATTTAAAAGTTTCCTATGAAAGGAAATCATTCCACCAGGCGCAGTGGCTCACGCCTGTAATCCCAGCATTTTGGGAGGCCAAGGCGGGCAGATCGCCTAAGGTCAGGAGTTCAAGACCAGACTTGCCAATATGGCAAAACCCCGTCTCTTCTAAAATTATAAAAATTAGCCGGGTATCATGCTGCACACCTGTAATCCCAGCTATTCAGGAGGCTGAGGCAGAAGGGAATCAATTGAGCCTGGGAAGCAGAGGTTGCAGTGAGCCAAGATCTCACCACTGCACTCCAGCCTGGGTGACAGAGCAGAGTCTCAATTAAAAAAAAAAAAAAAAATTCCAGCACTTTGGGAGGCCGAGGCAGGAGGATCATGAGGTCAAGAAATTGAGACCATCCTGGCCAACATGATCAAACCCCATCTGTACTAAAAAATACAAAAATGAGCTGGGTGTGGTGGCGTGCGCCTGTAGTCGCAGCTACTTGGGAGGCTGAGGCAGGAGAACTGCTTGAACCTCGGAGGCAGAGGTTGCAGTGAGTCGAGATTGCACCACTGCACTCCAGCCTGGCGCCTGGCGACAGAGCAAGACTCTGTGTCCAAAAAAAAAAGGAAATCATTCCTCCACTTTCTTGTTGTTTTAAATAGGATATATTTTCAATAGTATTTTAAATAAAATATATTTTTATCCTATTTAAAACTGTAAGAAAATGGAAGAACAATTCTATTAATCTTAATTTTTACAAATAATGGTTTTATTAGCAATATTAATAAAGCCCAGGTGATATATGCTAAATATATTCTACAATAGTTGATTTTGCCTTGCCAATACAATTCGTTCCAACCCAAAGGTGTCACACATCCGGGTTAGCTGGACTGTGCACCTGATCACTATGAGACGATTTTCCTGCTCATTCACCGCTCGCTGACGGGCAGAGAAACAACCCCGGCAGGTCTGTGAATAACACTGCCCCCAAGAGAGGGAAGCATGGGAGATTTCTGACCATGCACTCACAACACCATCCCAGCGGTCCTGCCATCGCTGAAGACAGCAGGATTAGTGTGACTCCCTGCAGCTTGGAAACGCCTCTGCCCAGGCAAGCAGCTGTATCACCAGACAACCCAAAATCAAAGGAACATGGCGCTGCAGTCAGGAGTGACAAGCTCAGCCTAAGTGGCGCCGCCCTGTCCCCGGGCAGCCCAGCATCTGTCTTCCCGGGCACAGACACTGTTACCCTGAGACAGCAGGGGGACCTGGGCCGAAGCAGCCCCAGAGCAGCTCCAGGTCCTCTTCCTCTCATCTTCGTTTTAAAGACGAGAAAACTAGAATCTCTGATGGAAATGAGTGCAAGACTTGGCCAAGGTCACCCCACAGCGTCCGCCAGGGCTACTGTGACAGCCAGAGGCCCAAGCTCCACCCTGGGCGCATGGAATCCAAACAAGGCACCCTCGAGGCCAAGCCATGATGGAAACCTCTGGATTCTTCATCGTCCACAGGAACTTCTCTCCCCGCAGACATCACAAGTGGTGGAATCTAATGATGGATTCTGTCCACACTTTTCCCAAGTGTTGACAACGACTTGTCCAACACTAGCACAGCCTGATAAGTGATGGGGCTGCCGTCCTCCAAGCAGGCAAGGCCCTGTGGGCAGGAGAGGCTCCTTCTTTGGTGTGGTTCCTTAGAACAATGGTTCTCAATGGCAGGTACCCAGGGGTGCTGTGAGACCCCGGGGAGCATATTCCGTGGTCAGGATTAAGAGAGTACTGAAATTTGGCCGGCGGAGGTGAGGGAGGTTGCATCCCTCAGTGAGTAAGACCGTCTTGCCCAACAAAAACTCTTCACACACAAAATTTAGGATGAACCAGAACTTCATGGGTGGAAAACATGCTTCTAACTCTCTGATCCCAGAATCGTACTCTATTCAACATTTACACACGAAACATTTTTGCATGGTTTTACCATGACTTGAATTTTCCACAAATTCAACTATTACGTAAGTCAAGAAAAAATTATACTTTGCTTTACTTGAAACTTCACTAGGAACTGCTCGCCATTCTGTAATATTCCATCACCAGCTGGGGTCTGAACCCACAGAGTCACACAGGTCAGTCTGTGGGGACCGCCCCTCCCCATCAGCAGGATGCGACACACCAGATGGGACGTCCGGCTTTTTCACAGCCAACCAGCACCATTATTACACACTACTACCACATTTATTCTCTGTAGCTGGGGCAGTCTATTAAGTTATAAGTTATATTTTCAGTTTTTTTTTGAGACATAAATGATATTTTCTAAACACTACATTTTAGAGTAAGAGGACATTACCAAAAAACTACCCTAAAAAAAAAGGCATTGGGTCTGACAGCTTTGCACACCTGACCTGAGAGCCCCACAGCATCCCTGCAGAGGACACGGTTGACACACACCTGCTGGGAGGACACACGTGGGTGACATCATTGCGCAGGGTAAAGGCCCCATCTCAGAGGAACACAGACGATCCCCGCCCTGCCTGCTGAGATGCCAACTCCATCACTAGATCCCTGCACAGAGGACACAGTCGACACACACCTGCTGGGAGGACACACGTGGGTGACATCATTGCACAGGGTAATGGCTCCATCTCAGAGGAATACGATCCCCACCTCCCGCCTGCAAACTGAAATGCCAATTCCACCACTAGCAGCGGAGCTCGGAGGAGGGCCAGGTAGCATTTCCAAAACCCCCAGCATGCCTAAGAGTTCAAAGAGGCACCACTGCTTTAGCCAGCATGGCAGCCATCATCTGGAGCTGCCCCCAGACAAGCCAGGACAAGCTGCCACCTCGGTACTAGGGTATATTCATGAACATCCCAAACCCAGCCAGCCCAGGAGCCCCTGCTCTCCCTCCCCACACTCCCCGGGGAGGTCTACAAAGCCCCTAACCCAGCACCAGCCACCAGCACACACAGTCCTTCCAGGCTTGCTGTGGCTCCCATTCCTCAGCGTCCACATGTCCCCGGACGCCCCCCGCCCACCATCCCACCGTGCTCTCTCCTCGTAGACACACTGGGCAGAGGGTTGCGGCTGGGCCAGGGAACCTGAAGAGAGCAGCTCTTAGTCAAATGGCCCCTCATCAGGCACAAAGCCATGCCGTGTCCACTGCCTTAGGCAGGACTTCCTTCTAGCCAGGTGTGGGGAAGGCTAGCGACACCAGTGCCCGAGCTTCGGCGCAAGCTGCCAGCCAGAGTGTCTGACACGAGCCTTGAATGAGCGGACGCCCAGGCAAGTCCCACTGTAAAGGTTCTATTAAAACAGCACGTGAAGTACCACACAGCTTCTAAGATTAGACTCCACTTTTTAAAAATAAGCACAGTAAAAACTGCAGACTTGAATGGACAGTCTGATATATTCACGTGAAATGTATAACCACCACACATGAAGAAAGACAGACCTGAAGAGTGGCCAGGTAGAGAAGGAAAAAGGAAAGCAGCACATGTACCTCTTCTAAGATTTGGTGGGTAAGTTCTAAAGAAAAGACGCGTCAGTCTGGGGTGAGTGGAAAGGAAACGTGAGGTGGTCCTGGCAGGATGCCAGGAGTTCGGGTTCGGTCTAAGGACAGTCAGCTTCACTGAGAACCTGCTGACACTGCGAGGCAGACACCTGGCATCTCCAGCCAACTGCACCTACACGGCGGGCCTGGGCGAGGAAGATGCGCTTCTCCCCAGGGGACCCGAAGGCCCCGCACCCGGGTCTGTTCTTACCATCGCACTTTGTTGCACGTCTGCGTTGCCCCGAGAGGGGAGCCGGCCACCATGGGCACCTGGATGGGGCTGTGCTGCTTGTTGGTGACCAGGTCCAGCTTTTCTTCTAAGGATTTACACGTAGCCTCCAGCGCCTGCAGCTTGGCCTCAATGCTGTCCAGCCGCAAGCAGATGGTCTGGTTGATGGAATACAGGAATGACTGAAAGTGGAGAAAGACCGGCTTTAGAAAGGGTCTCCTGAACTGGGAGAAGACAATCCCGCCGGGCGCGGTGGCTCACGCCTGTAATCCCAGCACTTTGGGAGGCCGAGGCAGGTGGATCACCAGGTCCAGAGATCGAGACCATCCTGGTCAGCATGGTGAAACCCCGTCTCTACTAAAAATACAAAAATTAGCTGGGCATGGTGGCACGTGCCTGTAATCCCAGCTACTCAGGAGGCTGAGGCAGGAGAATTGCCTGAACCCAGGAGGCGGAGGTTGCGGTGAGCCGAGATCGCGCCATTGCACTCCAGCCTGGGTAACAAGAGCGAAACTCCGTCTCAAAAAAAAAAAAGAGAAGACAATCCCAAGAAACACCAAACAGCGCTTTCCTGATTTCAACTCTATCTATTCGGACAGAACGATGCCCACGATGGAACTAGCTTGTTAGCTATGAGCCAGAAACAGCTGAGTAACGAGTTCACATGTGACATACGAGTCACATTTCCTGTTTAAAATGTGATGACTTAAAAACAGTGTTTTACTTCTGTGAGCAGTTGCAATTTTTAGTTGTGCCCATATAATAAAAAAAGTATGTAGTTTAATATATTATTAATCAGTAAGTTTACACATACCACTAACCAAACCTTCTCAGCAATAGAAACAGACTACACCTAACATCAAAACAGCATAGAAGCCACAGGCCATGCGCAGTCACAATACACTGGCTGCCTAATCTGAAGGTGACTGGCCCCCAGTAGCCCTGACTCGGGGATTTGGTCAAGAGGCTCTGTGGGGCTCAAGCAGCAAGCATGCCACCTAGCGGCTGGCAGAGCCAGGCTCCCCATCTGACCTTTCCCGTGGAGTCTCCTCCGGATTCCTCACTCCACGTAACCACAGTGAGCAGTGATATGCCGGACTCCAAACCCAAGAAACAGAGCAAACACACAAACCAGAAAGGAAAGAACGTCATTTCCCCAGCTGCCATCCCAGCCAGGAGCCACCACGAACACACATGGAAACGTTTTAATCACGTGGGAACTGCACTGTGCAAAAGAGACACCCTCCACCAGGTCTCACCAGCAGACAAAAGGACGCTCCTTCGTGTCTAGGGACGGGCAGGTTGGGGAACACCTGCCAGTCCTGCTCAGCACTCAGGAGGGCTACTACCTGCCTTAAGAATCAATAGCTGAAAATAGCACAGAATTTGTGTTTCACCTTTTCTCTCTCCTTTTCTGCCCATGATTTAGAATGTGGGGCCCAAAGTGGAACCATCAGAAAGAAGGGGGAGGTAGGTTCAGGAGAAAAGGGGCATCACAGAGCAGCCACCGAGAGCTGGCCGGGGACCCGCAGCACGGGGGCACGGGAGGCGGCCCACAGTGGAGCTGGAATGGCCTCCCACTAACTGCGGCTGACCTGCTGCACTGCTGACGACCCGCTTCTTCTGCTCTCAACGGAGCCTGCAGAGTATCAAGATGACAGCGCTACCATACATCAAGTCGCTGGCATCGAGACCTGGTGCATAGTGGCAGGGACAGCACTGCAGGAAGGACAATCCACAGATCGCCCAACAGCTCACCTTCGTCTCCTGGTAAGACTCAGCACAAGGGTGCCAACAGAGAAAGGAGCTCAAGAAACCAACTGAAATTCACCCTCCTTGACTGACTGCTCTGTGCTGGACTGTGTGTGGGAGGGAAGGAGGCGCGGCCTCAGGTGGCCCCAAGCCCACATGATGACGCTCAGTCAGCTTACCTACAAAGAAGGCAAGGTCCATGGCGTGACAAACATGCCCGTCTTGAAAAGCACCCATCGCTGCTGAATCCCTGAATGGCCACTGACATCCCCACTATCTTCAACAGCCTGAAGGTATCAAACGTGTGGCTCTCGAGTTCCTTACACAGTACACCCACATTATTCTAACTCTGAATGACAGATGACTGTCTGGGGTTGGGGTGAAAATCACTCTTATATACTAATAAAACAACCTACAGCCATGCACACACCTCCATGCAGACGGCAGGATTCAACCGGGGGCCCAAACTCTTCTCAACAGTGGGCCAAGGATGAAGGCACAGCCACTTCCAGGCCCCCTTGACATATTTCTGTGCTGTGTGTAGTAAGTGTGTCTTCTGTGATAAGACGTCAACTGCATTTTCTTTAGGGAATAAGGCAGCGTTTGCTAACAGAGCCACGTTCTATCCTGGTCGGAAACAGGCATCTGACTGTCAATGCATTTTCAGTTTCTCATACACATTACACTGCTTCTCCTTGTTAACAGAACGAATTAAATATCACCAAACAGACACCGTGTGTAAGTAGAGGAATGACATGAAAAGTGACTGTGGTTCTGTGTTGCTCTCACAGACTTCCCACACATGCAGATACTGACCTCCGTGACTCTGCAGACACGGGAACCAATCAAATTCAAAGATCCAAAAACAATCCACTGGGCAGTACCCAAGAACCCTCCAGTAAACTTTAGAACTTAGGTGACTCAAATGACAGGCACAGAAGTCATTCCTCACTGGCCACAGTAAGTTCACTCTCCTGCCATCCAAAATGGGCCTGCGGGAGTGTGGGCAGATGCCTCATTCGGCAGCACCTCAGGGTTAACAATTCTTACTCCTCGTGCTCTTTAAGAGAAAAAATGCTGAGACTCAGCACAATTCTTCCATAGTGGGCTGCCTGGTGACTCCCAAAAACGGCTTACCCACACCCTAACCCCAGAATGCATCCATGCGGCCTCACGGGGAAAGGGTCAATGAGGTCAGCCTGGACTAGGGCGGCCCTTCCAACCAGTGACAAGTCCTTTCTAGAGGAGAGAAAGGGAAACAGACACACAGGCGGCAGCCACATGAAGAGGGAGGCAGAGGCTGGGGCGAGCCCACAGCTCAGGGAGGCCCACAGCCACCTGAAGCTAGAAGAAGCAGGAAGGATCCACCTTCTAGAACCTTTGGAGGGAGCAAGACAACCCTGCCCACATCTTGGTTTTGGATTTCTGGCCTCCAGAGCTGAGAGGCTCCACTTTTAAGCCATCCTGTTTTGGTAATTTGTTCCAGCAGCCCTAGAAATCTCCGACGCACTATATACATCACAGAACAGGGTAAGAGTTTTACCTTTATAGAGGGGTCCTGGCAATTGATTTCTAGTCGCTGGCGTTTCAAAGCAGGTTCGTCTTCATCTGTCACTACATGATTCTCCAAAACAACTGAAATCAGTGACAGAGAAAAAAATGTTTAACGTCAAAAGCTGTACAGAATTATTTTAACATTAAGATAGTAAACAGTGCTGACACCTTTAGGTTGAATGAGAAATAGCGGAATCTATTTCATATTCTATCTGTAACTGCAAATAAGTAAATTTTTAAAAATTGGCTGGGTCTAGGGAAAAGGACTGGAAGGGTCACAGACAAACAGAAACGTGGTTTGCCAAGATGAGGCGACTGTGGCCGATTCTGGTGTTTGATTTTGAGGTTATCTCCGACAGTTTTGTAGTCAGTTTTAGACAAGAGGAAGGTCGGGACCACACTGAGGCCGCCCCAAGCCAGGGCTGAGTTGCTCGTCCTGTGGGAAGCGTCCCCTGACGCTTGCTGTGTGATGGGGACAGCTGAATTTATTCTCAGTCAGGCAGAAAACAGAGTAACTCCTTCACCCCCAGAAAAGCCCAGACACTGGGTAATTATTTCCCTACTGTGCCACTGAGTCAATCCCAGCCCCAAAACCGCAAGCTTCTCACTCAGTGCTCTGTGGGGCTGCCCTGGCTGGTTTGATAAAACCCAATCAATAATGACTTATTTCTTCCCAACTTGAAAATAAAATCTGTCGGCTACCTCATTCCAAAATCAAAACCACTCTATCCGCAGGTCCAGAACTAAAGGGAGGAATAAAAACACGGAGTATCACGTCGTCATAGGTGCTGATAATCAAAACAGTCTCAACCTTAATACGCTAAGTGACAGAACCTTCCCCCCGCCCCCGCCCCCCGCCCCCCGTCCCCCGCCCCGCGTCCCCCGCCCCCCCCCCCGTCCCCCGTCCCTCCCAGGCGCAGATGAGACCAGCAAGTGTCGGGATCTTCACGGCTTCCCACAGGCTAAGCAACTCCGCCCCATCTCGGGACAGCCTCATGTGGTCCTGACCTCCTTCCTCTCGTCTAAAACTGACGACAAAAACAATGTCAGAGATAACCTCGAAATCAGACACCAAACTGCCCACGGTTCCCTCCTCTCGGCAAACCACACTTCTGTTTCTCTGTGACCCTCCAGTCCTTTTCCCTAGACCTAGTCAGTTTTACAATTTACTTATCCACAGTTACAGATGGAAAATTAAGGTCAACAGTTCTTGTTAAAGATTGGAGACTGTGCCATGAGTATTTTTTCCTCTCATTTTCTTGCCTGAAATGAGTGTGAACTGTCTGGGGCACTCCTCCCAGCGCGCTCTACCCTGCACACTCACACGCTGAGCTAAAGGGCGACACACGCGTGGGAGGAGCGAGACCGTCCACCTCATCAGCAGCCCTCCTCTCCACTGAGCACCGAGTATGGACTCCGGGATCACCGTCATCGCTTTTGGTTTTCTTTTTATTGTTAGAGACATGAGGCCTCACTCGCTAGGTCACCCAGGTTGGACCCAAGTTCCTGTACTCAAGGGATCCTCCCACCTCAGCCTCTGAGTACCTGGGACTCTCCAGGTTAATAGCTTGAATTAAGTTTTTAACAGTAACGCCAGTTTGTGACTGCATTCTACAAAATGAATGCCAGTATATGAGAACAGGTATTATATACCTGCCTGCATATGAGCTCACTGTAACACTTCTGGTAGGAAAAAATCAGAAACCTGAATGCTGGCCCTTCAGCACATGCGCCCCTCGGCACACCACGTGTCTGCCAAGCAGGACGACCTCACTGTGTCCAGATGACACCTGCCCACTCTGCCAGTACTGACTGTGTCCCAGCCCTTCCCACACCACCAACCTCCAGCCACCTCCACCAGGGAAATCAAACCACCTCTGTCCAGCCCCACTCAAATGCCACCTTGTTCAGGAAGCCTCAACTCACACCTGTCTATACAGTGACACCAGCAAGGTCACAGCACCCACCCCAGGGCAGACCACGCTCTCAGCACCTGATACACAGGCTGCCCACTGATGTGGGTGAAGCACTCCTGCCAGGCATTCTGATTCTCCAGCTGCTGAAGGAGGGCTGGTGGGGGAAAGTCCCAGGGGAAAGCCAAGTGCACAGGTCTCTCTAGTCCCTGCCTCCACCTCAGCCAAAGCAACTCCCCTGGACATGTTACACAGACTGACATTCTGAGGAAGGTCTTAACTGGAAGATAAAAAAGAGCACCCATGCCTTTAAGCCTGTACACACTAGATGATTCATCTCAAAACTCCAAAACTTAAAAATGCTCCACCGACCCATGGTTCTAACAGGAAGCTCTCACAGGTCCTGACAAAGGCAGTCAAATCTGATCTACCCGGCGGGAAATTATGCAAAGCCAAAGACCACTGTTGCCTCCCAAGCAGCACACAGCTTGCCAAGGGCTCTGCCTTCCGCCTGGCGAATCCCGAGGCAGGAAGCTCGTCCGTCAACCATCTCCACTGAAGCCTTTGCAGATGAATTCTCACTTAACGAAACTCTTAAAACTCCATGGCTACAAGTGCCCGTGGCTAGTCAAAGGTTCTCAGGACCTCAGTCAAAGGCTCCTTACTCTCAGTGGAAACTGGTCATCAAACCAGGCCTGGAAGGAGAGAGACCCTCCCACGAATTACTCTAACCTTTTAATTTGCCGAGGAGAAAAGAAGTCCGGAAAGGTGACGGGACTTCTCTGGGGTCAGCGAGCTAGTTTCATCGTAAAGGCAGATGAAAGTAATGACCCAGTAATGACCCCACAGGTAGCGGGATGCAAGTGACATTTATTTTCTTCTTTGTACTTCGCTGCTTTTGTATGTGTTTCTTTTTATAATTTTGCATGCATCGCTTTTAGAATTAGACAAAATAATTCCTTGTTCATTTCAAAGATATCACAACCAGGCCGGGCGCAGTGGCTGTCACCTTTCGGAGACCGAGGTGGGTGGATCACCTGAGGTCAGGAGTTCAAGACCAGCCTGGCCAACACAGCAAAACCCCATCTCTACTGAAAATATAAAAATTACCCAGGTGTGGTGGCGTGATGGTGCGGTGGCGCGCGCCTGTAACCCCAGCTACTTGGAAAGCTGAGGCAGAAGAATCACTTGAATGCAGGAGATGGAAGTTGCAGTGAGCTGAGATCGTGCCACTGCACTCCAGCCTGTTGACAGATCAATCAATCTGTCTCCAATCAATCAATCAATCAATCAATCAAGATATCACATCAATTGCAATGACAGGCCCGATGCAAGTCACAATTTTTACATCCCGACAGGCAGAGTAAGCACAAGCCATGGTCAGTACACACCAAGTCAGAAGATCTCAGAAGTCTTTCTTTTAAATAAAAATAGGAAGGATTGGAAAGACATACACAGCAACAATTTAAAAGCTGCTACAAGCAGGAGGATCCTGGAAACTTTTTGCTTATCCTGCTTTCTTGACTGTCCTGCTCAATGTCATTTGACATACACTTTAGAGATGAGGAAAGTACTTTAAACCCACTATGGATGCGAACATTTGTGATACACCAAGGCATGTGCAGCTGCGCACGCCTTCCCCTGGGTCTCAGAGAGCAGGTGTGCATCGGGGCAGGCCTCGGAGCTCTGCACACAGTAGGCTGTTAACAAATTCTTAAGAAACTATAGTTCTCAGGCATTTAAGGAACAGAGATGGAACAACATCAAGATTAGAAATTATTTCTCTAAGCTTTTTAGGGCCACAGCCTACAAAGAGAGAATTTATTGGGGAAGTAGGCTGCGAGAATTTTAATGTCTGAAATCACTCACAATGTATGTAATTGGAATAATTTTCTTTCATAAGATTACAGTGTATCTTTTCTAAAGAAACTGTCATTTGCCTTCTAAACTAGAAACAGGAATTTTAAAAATTATTATGTGCAGTAATCATGTGGAAAACTAACCATAGCACTCCTGAAACGCTGCCTTCATATTCCCCCAGGACCACTCCATTCCAAAACTATTTTTATCACTCACCCCTTCCATACTACAACTAGTCTCAAAGGGAGTTTCCTCCATTAACACAGCAAGCAGATCATACAAACGGACATCAGACTTCCTCACAACGCTCTGCAAATTCTCTCTTCCGGAGGAACAACTGTCAGCATTTGGATTCTAACATTCCTGAGAGAATAAGCAGGCACCCGAAATGCTCAGTGACTTAACTGTGGGGGCTGCTCACGTCAAACCTAACAGAACCATAAAACACGACTGTGGGGGCTGCTCACGTCAAACCTAACGGAACCATGAAACACGACAGTGGGGGCTGCTCACGTCAAACCTAACGGAACCGTAAAACACGACTGTGGGGGCTGCTCACGTCAAACCTAACGGAACCATGAAACACGACAGTGGGGGCTGCTCACGTCAAACCTAACGGAACCGTAAAACACGACTGTGGGGGCTGCTCACGTCAAACCTAACGGAACCATGAAACACGACTGTGGGGGCTGCTCACGTCAAACCTAACGGAACGAAAAAACACGTACTGCTATACGGCGAAAAAGAAAAGAAGAATCTTGGCCGGGCGCGGTGGCTCAAGCCTGTAATCCCAGCACTTTGGGAGGCCAAGGCGGGTAGATCACGAGGTCAGGATATCGAGACCATCCTGGTCAACATGGTGAAACTCCGTCTCTATTAAAGATGCAAAAAAATTAGCTGGGCGTGGTGGCGCGTGCCTGTAATCCCAGCTACTCGGGAGGCTGAGGCAGGAGAATTGCCTGATCCCAGGGGGCGGAGGTTGCGGTGAGCCGAGATCGCGCCATTGCACTCCAGCCTGGGTAACAAGAGCGAGACTCCGTCTCAAAAAAAGAAAAGAAAAGAAGAATCTTTTTAAACAGTTAAGTATGGACAAAGTGTCCTCACAGATAAAGGGATGAAGCTCCTGAGACTCAGGGTTCCCTTTCTCAAAGCTACCCTGTTGGTTGTAATTATTTCAAAGTAGACATGTGCCTTTAACATCATCTTAGGAAATTATCAGCCTTAGCAAAGGTGTAGAACAAACTTGTTCTCAAGTACTGTCAGAGGAATATATTAGAAAAACATTCCTGTTTCCTGGAAAACCTGGCAGTGTCTTATCAAAATTTTAAGCATACACAGCAATTCTACTTCTAGGAACTTATCTATTTGCCAAGATATATATGCAAAGGTCTTCTCCACAGGGTGTGCATAAAGGAAAAATCAGACAGACTCTGCCAGGAGCCCTGCGAAAGGGAAGAGTTAACGGGGAGGAGCACCTGTGAGGGAGTACTGTGGAGCTGTGAGAGAGAGCAGACTCACACACACAACACGGTGAGGCTCCGTGACGCTGCACACGGGATCACACACACATAACACGGTAAGGTTCCAGAATGCTGCACACAGGGGATCACGCACAACATGGTAAGGCTCCGTGATGCTGCACACAGGATCACACACAACATGGTAAGGCTCCATGACGCTGCACACAGGATCACATACAACATGCTAAGGTTCCATGACACTGCACACGGCATCACAGGCAACACGGTAAGGCTCCGTGGCGCTGCACACAGGGGATCACACACAACATGGTAAGGCTCCATGACGCTGCACATGGGATCACATGCAACATGGTAAGGCTCCATGACGCTGCACACGGGATCACACACAACGTGGTACGGTTCCATGATGCTGCACACGGGATCACACGCAACATGTTAAGGCTCTGTGGCGCTGCACACGGGATCACACACAACATAGTAAGGTTCCATGATGCTGCACACAGGATCACATGCAACATGGTAAGTTTCCATGACACTGCACACAGGATCACACACAATATGGTAAGGCTCCATGACGCTGCACAAAAGATCACACACACAACATGCTAAGGTTCCATGACGCTGCACATGGGATCACATTCAACATGGTACAGTTCCATGATGCTGCACACAGGATCACATACAACATGATATGGTTCCATGACACTGCACACGGGATCACACACACACAACAGGGTAAGGTTCCATGATGCTGCACGTGGGATCACATACAACATGGTAAGGTTCCATGACGCTGCACACAGGATCATACACACAACATTGTAAGGCTCCATGACGCTGCACACCGAGGATCACAATACAGAAGGCTCCATGATGCTGCACAGGGACAGGGTAGGGGAGATGGTATAGAACATACACACACACCCCCGAGGAGCGGGAGCAGGGGTGGCCCTTGAGACAAAGTGCTGCAGGGCCCCCTCCAGAAGGGACAGGGGCTGAGGCTGCAGAGGCGAGGGAAGGGAGGGGCTGGCAGCGTTCTCATCTCTAGGGTTCCAACTTTTCATACACAGCATGCATTACTTTGTTTTCTGCTTAATTAAAAGAAAAAATGGAGCAAGAATAAAGAGAATAATATTTCACCTACTGTCCCACAGCTCTGTACCTGGGTGGTCAGGGCTCAGGTCTTCCACTGCAATCTGAACCACATCCGCCAGGTCGTGTTCAGACATCATCCAGAGAGCAGGAGAGGGGCCGGTCAACACGCAAGAGTTCAACTCACAGCGGGGCTGGCTTCTGGTCACCTACGGAACAGAAGCAGAGGAGGAGAGGACATCAACCACCACGACGCGTGGAATGATGAAAACCACGAGTCGCGCAGGTGTACCCAAGAGGCCGTAAATGGCTGCAGATTTTTACATGCAGGGTTCTTCTTGCCTCAAACTACCAAAAGGTCAGTTTCTTTGAAAATTAACAAATCATTGAAAACGTCACCCGCTGCCTCTTTCCTTAACCACTGGACGAGCCGCCCAGGGCCTGTGTTCCCAGTGCGTTCCTCATGCCCTTCCAAAGTCGCCTTCCCAACACTGGCTGGCACACGTCCGCCCTGAGCTCAAGTCTCCATGGGACCTGACTGCCTACGGTAAGTGTCCTGCTTCCTGTCCGTGGGGCCTCAGCCCTGCTACACTCACCCCACCCCAGAAAGCAGCATCACACGCTGGTCTCCATGGTGATACGCCATCCTCCTCCCCAATCTCTCCCAGCTGCAGACTTCCATCTAGACTCTGTTTCTGCTGCCCCCACAGGCCAGAACCTCTGTTCTGCTTTCTTTCTGCTCTCAGCCTCAGTCCTGAACCCGAGCGGCATCCCCCCACCATGACCAAGGGGTTACCATCTGTCCTGTCCACAACTGTGCTGCCAGGGCAGGGCCGTCCCCGAGCCCCGCACGGTGTCTGAAACACAGTCAGGGGCTTTCCTCCAGCTCCTGCGACACTCCGATTAGGCCTCAAGAGAACTCACTTTCCAAAACAAAAATGAGGCAGCATCCCTCAAACTATGGTCTGTGAACACACAGGTCCAAACACAGTCCTGCAAAACAGCACGTCCTAGAAATCAGGAGTGAATGTGGCCATAATACCTTTTATCACACTACACTTTAATCACGGATACATAAACGGTATGAAATAAACCGTCTGTCCTGAACACACTACACACTTCTTGAGGGCAGAATCCCTGCGCCCAGCTCTGTACAGCACAGCTCCTTTCACCAGGAAGGGTCCGTTTGCTGTCCGTAATCGCAACCCCCACAGCAGAAGGAAAAGTGGGATTTTCAGGTCACATGGTTTCAACTCTGAGTCTACTCACAACTTCTGCTAATGGATAAGCCCCAACAGGAATCAAATTAAATGGCCAGGCCTCACACGTCCCAAAATCCTACAAACACCGCAGTTCCTCCTCTCCCTTGTCTAGACTTACATTTCACGGCTGAAGCGGCAGCAGCTATGGAATTTCTTGGAGATAACAACTTGTGGAAGAAGGAGCCACACATCGTCCTAAACCCTATTTGTATAGAGTAAAGGCAATATTTTTCATAAATGTGTGATCACAGGTACGATCAGTAAAACAGCAAAGGCACCTTGTAACTTTATGCAAGATGAGATGAACTGAGAAAACGAGAAACAGAGCTGATGACAAAACTGGACAGGGAAACACAACCTCAGAGGGACCAGTGCTGAACCTCTAAAAAGTCCCACTCAGGAAAGATGGAATGAGACGTTTCATCTCCCCAAATTCTCCAATACAGACACGCAGAGCTCCCTTGTCTAGGACAGCAAAGCCAAAATCCAGGCCAACACTGACAACAGAAAGAGGCGACGGGACAGTCCTCAAGAACCCCAAACACGAGCAGATGGGGACACTGGAAGCCACAAGCTCAGCAGGGCACGTGGGCATAGGACGGAGGAGGCAGAGGGAAGCAGGAGCCGGGCCATAGCAGCAGCTGCCGGACCCACCAGGAGACCCACACAGGGGCCTGCAGGGCTAACCCAGAGGCCAGAGTGCTCTGTACCCCAAAACCTCTCAAAACGCATTGTCCAAAGCTCCCATTTAGGCCAAATACATTAAAAAGAAATGGCCTGGAATTGAACACAGAATGTGTGGGGCATGGAAACTGGAGACAAAGGAGCATGAAAGCTAATTAAAGGTGGGAGGGGACAAGAGAGCCCAGAGTGCTCAGAAAATAAGCTGCTGCCCGTTCCAGACTTCCTCCAAACAACACAGGGAAGAGCCCCGAACACTGACATTAGAGGAATGATCTCAACCAAGCCTCTCTGCTGAACACTCAGAAAAGCCAAAGTCATAGACATATGAGCCACAGAAAGTACTAAGGCCAAACATCACACAAAACTAACACTTTTAAAAAGAGTAAGAAGCAAACTAGCTTCGTCACAGCAGACAATGAAAGCATTCTAGAAACATACAATCCCCAAAAAGATGAAAACTAAAAAAACAACTATATCCCAATATTTCAAAACAAACTGAAATATGTTAAACACACAACATACCATTAACCATAAACTAGCACTAGAAAAACTTAGAAACAAGGTGCTAGAGCTGAGAATATACCAGAAACAAAAGAAAAAATAACTTCAGAATTAAGACTAAACCAGAACAAACTTAGAACAAATCAACACAGTAGTGCCTCTAGAAAAACAAAGTGAGAAAAATTTGAAGAAAAGAAAGAGATGAAAAAAACCTCAAGAAAAAGTAGCACGTAGGACAAGAAAAGAAGACCCAACATATGTATAATAGTCCCATGAAAGATGAAAACTGGTCAGGCACAGCGGCTCACACCAGCAATCCCAATACCTCGGGAGGCTGAGGCAGGAGGATCACTTGAGGTCAGTCGCTCAAGATCAGCTTCGGCAACGTACCAAGACCCTGTCTCTACAAAATATTTTAAAAATTAACTGGCTCAGTGGCACAGACCTGTAGTCCCTGCTACTCAGGAGGCTGAGGCAGGAAAACCATTGCAGACTGGGAGTTCAAGGTTGCAGTGAGCTCTGATCGCACCGCTACACTCCACCCTGGGCAACAGAGAGAGACCCTGTCTCGAAAAAAGACGAAAACTGAAGCAATGAAATGGAATAATAAAAACTGTAATTCAAAAAAACTCTCCAGAAAGCAGGAGGGAGGGTGCTTGAAACGACTCATTAAAGGGTTACACGACAACCTAGGGGGAAAACAGAACAACCAGCACCAAAACACAGCCCAGTAAAAACATTACCTACAAAAATTCCTTCAGCCACCCAAGCATGAGGCTAGGTGACTCGGCAGGGCACAGTGGCTCACACCTCTAATCCCAGCAGTTGGGAGGCCGAGGCGGGAGGATCATGAGGTCAGGAGCTCAAGACCAGCCTGACCCAACATGGTGAAACCCCATCTCTAAAATAACATACATACATACATACATATACTTAGAATTTTCTTTTTAATTTTTAAAAAAGACTAGGTGACTTATAATGGAAAGAAAATTAGATTATCAAACTCCAAGAGAAAAAAAAAAGAGATAAACATATTTAAGATACACAAGGAAAGAAATGTGAGCCAAGAATTTTATATCCAAACAAAATTACTTTCAAGTATAAAGGCAGTCGAGTTTCTTCAACATCCAGTCCTCAGAGAACAACAGTATTCCCAAAATCCCCTCCTGAAAGCACGGGCAACAAACACGCTTCAGAAAACCAAACCGCATCGGGAAGAGCGGCTGGTGAGCAGTGCTCTATCTGCACGCAAGGCTGAGACCCCGGAGGAGAGGAGGAGGAGCACACAAGGCCACGCGCTGAGCACAGACACGATGTCAGTGCGTGAAACCGGGAGGAACTGTGAGTACATGTGAAAAACAAATGTCAGAACTTTCAAAAACAAAAAGACACGCTACAATGCTCAGTGGCCGTAAGGAGTGGGAGCGGGAGAGTTCCTTCCAACCATTTCCAGAACACACAAACAACAATGTTACGATGTTCGTCAGCGGCCGCGGGGAGCAGTGCCGGTTTTCTGCGTGTTCTGTTTTGTTTCCCTTTAAGACGGCCTCTCGCTCTGTCGCCCAGGCTGCAGGGCAGTGGCGATGATCTCGGCTCACGGCAACCTCCACCTCCCGGGTTCAAGCAACTCTCCGGCCTCAGTCTCCCGAGGAGCTGTGAATACAGGTGCCCATCAGCATGGCCAGCTAATTTTGTATTTTAGCAGAGACAGGGTTTCACTGTGTTGGCCAGGCTGGTCTCAAATTCCTGACCTCAAGTGATCCACCCGCCTTGGCCTCCCGAAGTGCTGGGATTACAGGCGTGAGCCACCGCGCCCGGCCAGTAGAGTTCCTTCTGAGAACGCCTTGCCTCGTGTGCAATTCTGTCATCCCTCATGTCCTTGTTAACAAGGAAAACCAGATAAAGGACGTCAAGCGAACACCTTGAAGTCACAGATCTGAACTGAAAATATAACCTCAGCTGGGTGTGGTAGCTCACGCCTGTAATCCCAGCACTTGGGGAGGCCACGGCAGGCAGATCATCATAGGCCAGAAGCTCGAGATGAGCCTGACCAACATAGAGAAACCTCATCTCTACCAAAAATAAAAAATCAGTCAGGAGTGGTGCCACATGCCTATAATCCCAGCTACTCAGGAGGCTGAGGCAGAGGGTCACTTGAACCTGGGAGGTAGAGGTTTCGGTGAGCCAAGATCGCACCATTGCACTCCAGCCTGTGCAACAAGAGCAAGTCCATCAAGAAAAGAAAGAGAGAGAGAGAGAGAGACAGAGAGAGAGGGAAGGAAGGAAGGGAGGGAGGGAGGGAGGGAGGGAGGGAGGGAGGGAGGGAGGGAAAAAGACAAGAAAGAAAGAAAGAAAGAAAAGAAAGAAAGAAAGAAAAAGAAAGGAAGGGGAAGGGGAAGGGGAAGGGGAAGGGGGAGGGGAAGGGGAAGGGGGAGGGGGAAAATATGAACGCATCTGTGTATGTGCGCATGCGTGTGTCTGTGCGTGTGTGTGCATGTGTGTGTCTGTGTGTGCGTGTGTGCATGCGTGCATGTGTTGTGTGTGTGCATGTGTGTCTGCATGTGTGCGTGTGTGCATGTGTATGTGTGTGTGCATTTGTGTGTGTGTGGCTGTGTGTGTGCATGTGTATGCGCATGTGTGTGTGCATGTCTATGTGTGTGTGTGCGTGTGTGTGTGTGTATGTGTGTGCATGTGTGTGCGTGTCTGTGTGTGCGTGTGTGTGCGTGTGTGCATGTGTGTGCATGTCTGTGTGTGCATGTGTG